ACTGACCAAACTGTCTGTCTGGGGCAGACCGAGACGTTTCTGCTGTGGAGGCCCAGGGAGACCAGCTCTCCTCCTGAGGCCCCGGCCCTTCCTGTTCTCCTGGATCTCCCGGGTTGGCGCCCAGCATAAGCGGGCTCATCCCTCTCATCCAAACCCTTGTCACTTCACAGCCCCAAGAGCTCTTGTTCGTTGACTCACCAGAGCCCACTGCCCCAGCCCAGGAGAGATGGGGGACCCCAGAAAACCAGGGTGCCCCATTTTCCTCTTTTTTATGGCCACTTTATTAGATACGGCTCGCCTGGTAGAAATGTAGAGTGTAGCCGTTTTTAGGGTACCCAAGGATTGCACAGCCGCTACCATAGTCAACACTAGGTCACTTTCACCTCCTCAAAAGCCCTGCACTGTGAGCAGCCACTCCTCTTTGCCCCTCCCCCAGCCCCTGACAGCCACTATCTGCCCTATCTCTGCGGTGGGTCTTCTCTGGACATTCCGTGCACAGAGCCCCACCGTCCTCTGTGACCGCTTCCTTGCCCACATGGAGGGCATTGGAGGTCTGCCTCGCCGCACACTTGCCAGAGCTTCCCTCCTTTTTGTGGCTGACTAATATTCCAGTAATACTTTGTTGCCTGAATGTCCTACATTCCATTGATCCTTGCATCAAGTGGGTGGAAGGACAGGCAAGCGCGAGCCTGGGTCCCACCAGCCTCAGACTAAGCCCTACTTCGGGATCCCCTGGCCATCCCTGCGGGCTGTGGCCGTGCTGTGGGGAGTCCCAGCTGCTCGTGTGTGGTAGGAGAGGCTGGATGGGATGAACTTGGAGAAAAGTATTTTAAAAATGAAAAAATAGGTGTAGCATCTGTGGTGTGCTTTGGAGGAACATGTATTATTGTCTGGATTTCCCTTGAAATATTACAAGTGTGGAAATAGTCTGACCATTGGTTTCCTTCTAAGGACTTTTTGCCTCCTGACCTGAAATGCAGATACAGCCAGGGCTGAAGGTACTTGGCTCTCTACATTAGGTTTTCCCCCTCAAAAGTATCGCCAGCCCATTGCTGAGTCCTGGCTGAGCTGTCCCCTCCACAGCTGACAGCCCTCCATGTTGGGCCGCAGGGTGGCTTCTCACCCGCCTCCCGGCCATGCAGAGTGACGGTCCCTGTCCCCTGAGTGTGCATGCCGCTTCCCTTGCCTGACCTTTGGGGAGCAGTCCTTTCTCCTACAACCTTTATTTTTTAAAAAGAATCCTAAATGAGGTGAGTAATATAAAAAAAAAAGTAAACACAAACCTTGAAAAATAGAGAAAAAGCCCAAACCACTCATAAAGCCACTGCCCAGAGCAGTCCTCAGTGTTGATTTGTGACGTGTGGGCTTCCTGTCCTCCTGTCTGTCTGTCCTTCTGACCTACACAAGTACGGTTACACACACACAGCAGATCCTGTGTAATTACACACTAAACTTTCCATCTGAAAGTGGATAACAGAACCATAGCTGATTCACCTGTGGTCCCAACACCTGGAGATACCTATGGTCTCTACTGTTAATACTACCTGTTCTTCTAGATGTTTCCATGAGTAGATTTTTATTGGTACAGAAGCCCTTTCCTCCTGTTGGTTCCTTGTGGCCTCCCTGGGTCCCCAGGTGATGTGGTGGTAACAGTGTGGGCATAGGGTAGTGGCGCCTCGTTGGAGGCCCAGCCCAGAGGCATGAACTTTTGAGAAGGTATGAATAGGCCAAATGTCTTCCCCTAGCTCATTCACAACCTCCTTCCTGTCTCCATGACAACCCATATCCCTTAATAAGCAGCTGGACCCCAGGTGAGGAGGGAACCAGTGAGTCTGGCCTTTGTCCCTCCTGGGCTCCTGGGTGGTGGTGGGCTACTGAGTTTCTGACCCATGCCCACTGGTCAGCATGTCCTGATCATCTGGGCCCCAGAGAAGCCATCAGCACACTGAGGAAGCCCTGAATTACGTAACCGCTAGCAATCTGTGCCCTCTTCCTCCCCACATCTGAGGGTGCTGGGGGGCAGGTGGCCAGGCACGAGTTGCGGACAGGAGCTGCTCATCCTGTCTTTCCAGGTGTGTTCCCAAGTGTTTTTATATGACCAGGACACAGCAGAGGGTCGTAACTGTCTCTTCATAACAAGTAACCTCAGTTATCCACGGCTGCATGCTGTATCTTACTGATCATACAAGTCTCCTGGTACCACAAACCAGGGGCTTAAAACAACAGAAATTTAATCTCTCACATTCTGGAGACCAGAAGTCTGAAATCAAGGTGTGGACCGGGCCGCGCTCCCTCCCAGACCTGTAGGGGAGGCTCCTTCTTGCCTCTTCCAGCTTCTGGTGGCCCCAGCGTTCAGGGGCTTGTGGCCACATCACTCCAGTCTCTGCCCCCCGTGTTCACGTGGCTGTCTTTTCCCTGTGTCTCTCTGATAAAGACACCACTTATGTTGGATTAGGGTCCACCCTAACTAACATTGATGACCTCATTTTACCTAATTACATCTGCAGCAACCCTATTTCCAGCTAAGGTCACATCCTCAGGTATGGGGGCCTAGTATTTCAGCATATCTTCTGGGACACAATTCAGGCCTTAGCAGTGTTGAACCATGATTTACTTATTGTCTTTTTTTTTTTTTTTTTACTGACCGGTAATGGGATCGCAACCCTCGGTGTTGTACCCGCACCGCGCTCAGCCAGTGAGCGGGAACCGGTCTCCACATGGGATCCGAACCCTCGGCAGGAGCGCCGCAGCGCTCCCAAGCAGCGCACTCTCCAGTGCGCCACCGGGCTGGCCCAACCATGATTTACTTAACCACATCTCTTTTGTTTCCAGTGTCTCAGCCACGATCATAAATCTGTATATTTAATGTATTATGCATAGCCATGATTATTTCCTTAGTATAAATTTGTACAAGTGGATTGCTAGGCCCTCAACTCCCTCTTCGCTTTTAAGGCCTTCAGTACAAGTTTGTGTAGAGTACAGGGATCAGGGTATAATCCTGGGAAAAGGCAGAAAAGCGCTTATAACTCAGAGCTACGTTGAAAATGTGCTTGGTGCTGCCTTCTTAAGTAGGCCAGTGACATTTCACTAAGACATAGGTCAGCAAACTACAGCCTGCGGGTCAAATTCAGCCCACCCCCTGTTTTTGTACATAGCCAGGAATGGTTTTTATATTTTTAAATATAAGTTTTAAAAAAAAAACCCAAAAGAGTAATGTTCCATGACATGAAAAATGATATGAAATTCAGATGTCAGTGTCCATAAGTAAAATTTTGTTGGTACACAGCCACGCCTGCTTGTATACATACTGCCTGTGGCTGCTTTCCCGCTCCAAGGGCAGCTTTGAGTAGTTGCAACAGAGAGCACATGGCCCACGGGACCAAAAATATTTGCTATAGAACGTTTGCTGACCCCAGCTCTAAGCATCTATATTTGCATTCAGATTGGTTCCAAAAATAAAAATGTGTTGAATTCAACTGGGTCTCTTAAAAGTAGTTAACTGTATTTGGAATTCTGTGTTTTTTCTGGGCATTGGGTGCATGTGCCCCTAAAGCTGCATGGGGCGGCTCATGGTCACTTCCCTGATGTCAGCTCAGAGCACCTATGCAGTAGGGGTGGATGTCGCTTGGGGAAGGAAGACCAGACTCGGGTTAAGGGGCCCTTGGCCCCATGGCCAGGTGGTTGGAGCAGCACTGGCTCTCTGGGCCCCTGGCTCCTCCCTGTAGGTGACCCTTACCCTCTACCCATCTTCCTCCAGGAGAAGGGGGCAAGGGACTCAGGGCAGAGCATGGTGTTTAGTGACATAGAACTGTGCCCTTGTTGGGCTCATGCTGAGGTGGACATTCAAGGAGGCTCAGCTCGCAGGGACCTCACCCTAGCAAGAGGGTCCAGCAGGCAGAGAGGGGAGTCACTTTGTCAGGGCTGTCCTCCCTCCTCTGGTTGTAGAGCAATTCGTGTCCCATGGCCCTTTTTAAAGTATTTTTTCCAACATTCCACACAGCAAAGTTCAAAGAATTTCACAGTGAACACGTGCCCCACCCCCCCCACCAAGGTTCTGCCCCCGTGTTTTCTGAACTTGCTTTGCCAAGCACCTGTCCGTCCACCCTTCCTGCCCACATGTCAACCCCCCTTACCTCTGGGGCTTTATTGTGGTAAAATACACCCAACATAAAAATTGCCATTATCACCATTTTAAAGTGCACAGTTCAGAGACATATAGCATGTCCACAGCACTGTACATCTGTTCCATCTGTCTATTCCAGACATTTTTGTTTGAATGGAGTCATCCTCCAGGTGGCCTCCTGACAGGCCTCTTTCTTTTTTTTTTTTTTCCTTTTTGTCTTTTTTTTACTGACCGGTAATGGGATCGCAACCCTCGGCGCCGCGCCTGCACCTTCTCAGCCAGTGAGCGGGAACCGGTCTCCACATGGGATCTGAACCCTCGGTGGGAGCGCCGCCACGCTCCCAAGCGGTGCACTGTCCAGTGCGCCACCGGGCCGGCCCATGACAGGCCTCTTTCACTGACGTTTTCAAACTTTGTCCGTGCCGCGGTGTGTCTGTACTGCACTGCTTCCCACAGCCACGTAGTGTTCTCTGTGCATGTTAGCTCCCCGAGGCACAACAAGTCACCACAGACTGGGTGGCCTGAAACAACAGAAGTGTGTTCTCTCTGTTCTGGAGTCCCCCACGCTCTAACCAACTGAGCTAGCCAGCCAGCCTATGATGTCTGTTCTTAGATGCCACTTCCCTGTGAGCTCACAGCAGTGGTGTCAGGCTGGGAAGGATGGCAGACAACAGACACTGCACTAAGTGAGGACCAGCTGGCAGTGGAGGTGAACGCCAGCGAGGCTCTGGCCACAAAGCAGCTCTGTAGAGTGCCCTGGGGAGCTGCTGGGATTTGGCCGGAGCTCTGCAGTCCACTGGGGCACAAGGGCGGCTCCCCTGAGACTAGCGCTACCTCTAAAAGGAGCTCAGTGCTCTTCCCATGCTCTTCCCTGCAGATGGGGTGGGGCGACCTGGGGCTGTATGGAGAACCTTCCAGAGAGACCCCGAACTTGGACCAAATGGCTGCAGAAGGGATGTTTTTCCCAAACTTCTATTCTGCCAACCCTCTGTGCTCACCATGTAAGTCAGCACTGGCCCCCGGCCCTGGGTAGGATGAGCTGAGCAGGACCTGGCACACCCCACATTCCTGCCATGGGGGGTGCAGAGCCTGTCAGTGATTTCCAAGGTAGAAGCTTCTGCTTTTGCTTCCCGAGTTGAGTGGCTGCAGCCAGCTCAGGGAGAGGAGCTGAGAACTGACCCTCAGTCGTGGGATGCGGGGTACAGGGGTGGGGGGGCGCTCCTGCTGACAGATGAATGTACAGGTGCTGATCTTAAGGAAGAATTTAAGGCAGGGTAAGGGGCCAGCGTGAGGAGGGGCCGTGTGGGCCTGCAGTCCTGGGGAGAGTCCTGGGAGCGGATGCTGAGCTGCAGATGCGTGGTCCATGCCTCCACCTAGGCAGTGGGGACATTGCACCACATCCCCAGGCCACCAAGAGGCCAAAAGCCTGTTGTGCTGAAAACCACAACAGCCTGTTGCAAACCTGGTGCACAGAGTTCAGGCACGGTCCAGCAGGAGTCGTGCACTTCAGAAGTGTGGGGTGCCGGCCAGGGTGCAACCCAGATGCCATTCTCACCGTGTTTCTGTTTTTGTCACCTTCCTGTAGCCAGGGCGGCCCTGCTCTCAGGACGGCTGCCCATCCGCAGCGGCTTCTACACCACCAATGCACACGCCAGGAATGGTAGGCCCCGATCCCTCTGCAAGGGCCGGTGTCCTGGGCCTTCAGGCGGGAGGGAGGCCAGGGCCAGGACGGATGCAGGAGAGAGAACACTGGGCGGGAGGGAGGCCAGGGCCAGGACGGATGCAGGAGAGAGAACACTGGTCAGCCCATTTCACATGTGGCCTTAGTTCTACAGAGTGGCCCTGACTACCCAAGGTCACATGCTTTGTTTCTGTTACAACGTAACTTTAAGACAGATTGCAACACTTTCATCAAAAGCGACGCAGAGTAGGGCCGGCCTGTGGCTCACTCAGGAGAGTGTGGTGCTGATAACACCAAGGCCACGGGCTTGGATCCCATATAGGGATGGCCGGTTAGATCACTTGGGAGAGCGTGGTGCTGACAACACCAAGTCAAGGGTTAAGATCCCCTTACCGGTCATCTTTATAAAAAAATAATAATACAATGCAGGCTGGCAGCAGAGAGCAGGCTGAGGCGGCCCTCCGTCTCAGGACCCAGGGCAGGAGTGCAGGCTCTGCCCAGCCAGGCTTCCTTTCCTGCCGCCCCTCCCCTGCTGCTCCCATTTTGCATTCTGGGGTGCTGCCCAGAGTGGCCTGAGGAGTTGGGCACGTCCCTCCCTCCAGAAGCTCCTTCTCCATTTGGGCGGTTAGCTGTACACCCAGAAAGAGACCTAAGGAAGCCAGGAGGTGTACAGTCCTCAGCAGTGAGTGTTGCAGAAACAGTGCCCAAGGAGATCAGATGGGTTCTCTGGGGACAGTCTCAACGATGAAGGGGACTTCAAGTGGCCTTTGAAGACAGGGAAGCACAGGAAGGATGGGGGAGGCACAGCCTGAGAGGGGGAGGGGCAGCACATAGACCTCAGGGCTGCTGGCTGGCCTGAGGCAAGCTGGGGCCTGAGGCCAAGCAGGATGTCCCCACCCCTCCCCTGGTAATGGGATGCCTGGAAAGATCCCAAAATTTGTGCAGGTATGCCCACTCCTACCACGGCTTTGCCCGTTGACCCTAATGGGCTGGTATTTAGATCCCATACAGGCTAGAATAAGCCGTCTACAATGTTCCTGCTCCATGTTTCCATACGGCTCACATACCATGTTGCTCTTCCAGCGTACACGCCCCAGGAGATCGTGGGCGGCATCCCGGACTCAGAACACCTCCTGCCTGAACTCCTGAAGGAGGCCGGCTATGTCAGCAAGATCGTCGGCAAGTGGTGAGTCCCTGACGCTTGCCTGCTGGTGTGCTCTGTACAGCCCACATGTGGGCCTTTTTACAAGGGGTCATTACTAAAAGTTTCCAAACAAGGAAAGCTTCTCAGGTGGGAAATGGAAACTGCATTCTAGGTCCATTTAGATGTCAACAGCATTCCTTTAAAAGCTGGGCACAGCCCTCCAGGGCTGTCCTGCAGTCTTGCGGGCAGAATCTCAGGTCATGTACCAGGCTGGACATCAGCCTCACCCCATAGCCGTGGGCTTCTTACCACCACACCCCCTGGGCTACTTCCTGCCACAGCGTCCTGTGAGGAGCCACGTTATTACACACGCAGGTGCTGAGTGGCTGAGACCCTTGTCAGCCAGTGGAGGGCTTCTGTCTAGTGTGAGAAGTTTTTATTCTTTTTTTTTTTTTTTTTCTAAAAAGATGACCGGTAAGGGGATCTCAACCCTTGGCTTGGTGTTGTCAACACCACGCTCAGCCAGTGAGCAAACCGGCCATCCCTATATAGGATCCGAACCCGGGGCCTTGGTGTTATCAGCACCGCACTCTACCGAGTGAGCCACGGGCTGGCCCGAGAAGTTTTTATTCTAAATGAGGAAGGAGCAGCCAGGAAGTAGAGGAACAGCCGTGCATTTTTGAATCAATGGTATTGAGTGATAACATCGTAATAAAAGTTCACATGGCTTCACTGTTTCCCTGTTTACACTGTTTCAAGCACATGAAACATTTTATCTGTTTACTCCCTGGGACACCAAAGCACAGCATGTGAAGTCAGATTCCTGTGTTTCCTCGCTGCCCAACAGCCTGACAAGCCCCCTTCCTTCAGGAGGCCGTCCTTGATATAATATACTCTGTGGTCTCTTGTTGGCCCTCCTGGGGATCAGCTGCTCCTCAGATGTTGACAGTCGTGATGATGGGGAATCCTCAGAGACCGGGAGAATAATCGGCATAAAACCCAGGCACTCCAGAGGCTGCCTAGGGAGCGCTTGTCACTCCTACATCAGGGGAAGCTGATCTGCATTCTGATGGGGTGGTGGTGACAGAGCACAGCAGATGGGCACCGTGGGCTGTGGAGTCCTCCTTTGGGAGGTCAGGGCCCCAGCAGGTACCGGGGAAGTCACACAGAGGCTGACCCTCAAGGGCTTCCACAGCATGTCAAGGCTGCTCCAACATGAGGCCACCAGAGCGCTCTGTGCCTGGCCTGGCAGCTCTGCACCAGGTCCAGCAGCTCCCGTTCATGGTCATTGACACAGGGCAGCCAGAGCTGGATGGAGGTGTGTCTCCATGCAGCTCACCGTGGCTCCAGGACGCCCATCGGCAGGAAAGAGGTGACTGCTAGGAGCGGGGGCCGAGCAGAGGCCTGGAGAAGCAGCTCTGTGTGGATGTCGGATGTGGCACAGCAGCACATGGGCCCAGCAGTGGGGCCCAGCATGAGGACGGGCTCCAGGCGACCTGGACAGATCACGCGGCTGCTCCTCGCTCGGGTGGGGGTCCCAGTCCCGAGGGATCCGGTCACAGGGCTGGAGGGAGTGTTGTTGGCCATGACTGGGACTGCCCTAATGTCCTTCATCCCAACCCCAGCACCGAGGATCTGGATTTCATCTGCCTGATCAAGTCCAGGGTGGGGCGGGGTGTAGGATATGGAGCCTGGACACCTGTAAAGAGGCTGCTTGATCTTCCCAAAGCCATACAGCGGGTGTGGGGGGCTGGGATGAAAATCCCAGAGGCCGGGCCGGCCCCGTGGCTCACTCGGGAGGGTGCAGTGCTGGTAGTGCTGACGCCGCAGGTTCGGGTCCTGTATAGGGATGGCCGGTGTGCTCACTGGCTGAGCATGTTGTGGACAACAAAAAAAAAAAAAAGAAAAAGAAAATCCCAGAGGCCTGCAAACCCTCCCTCTATCCCAGCTCACCTGCTGGTCAGTGCTGGACCCCACCGTTGTTTTGAGATCAGCACACTGAATCGACAGCTTAACCTGAGCAGGATCTTGACCATGTGTTTCTTTTAAGCAAAGGCCTTTATGCTGATGGACACAGACACTCAGGATTGTCATCTGTGGCCAGGTAATGACCTGACCAGCTGGAGTTCAGAAACGATAGGGCCTTATAGCAGTGGCCCTGAGAGTACGTAAGATGCAGAGAGGAAAGAGGGCACAGCTGGCAGTTGAAGGATCAGCGAAGTCACAGCAGGTGCGCTCACCTGGAAGGGAGAGAAGACAGAGCACGTGAAGACTGAAGCGCCATCTCAAGAGGCAGAGTGTAGGCTAGCAGCTGTCCCAGGGCAACAGCACCCTAGAGCCCACCGGACTCTAGTGGCACCTGCACCAGTCTCCTCTTTATGAGCAGACAAACGGAGGCCCCCAGACTCAGCAGCTAGCTGGACCCATTTGTCCCTGCTGACCCTGCAACTCACCCAACTGAGTGAGGACAGGCTGACCTCGGGTCTGTGCGACTCCAGTGCTGGGTCCCCTGTGAGCGGTCAGGGCAGGGCCTCCCTGCCACCTTTGCCCAGGGACTGCCCCAAGTGCAGCTCGGAAGAGGACCCTTCCGCCCCAGGGACGCTGCTCTCAAAGCTGCAGCTGCAGGTTTCCTCAGACGCACACTTCCATAAGGGGATCCTCCTCCTTCCCCAGTGTTCTGAGGAGCAGCTGGGAGCAGGATTCTCCCAGCACAGGTCTCGCTCAAGGAAACTCTAGGCTATGACTCCAGGAGCCAGAGGGGTGTGTGGGCACCTCCAGCCAGTTGTCCTGTGGCTGTTCTTGGCTGGAGGGAATGAGATGAGGTGCACCCCAAAGGGCAAGGGGCATGTGGAGTGGGAGCTTGGGGTGGGGTCTGGGTGTGGGGGACCACAGGGTGGGGTCTGGCAAGGGTATGGGAACACAAGGTGAGGTCTGGCAGGGGCTCCCCACAGCTTCGCCTGACACCTGCAGTGTGCAGGGTGCCTGCAGGGGGTGCTTGCAGAGGGCCCAGCAGATGAGCCTCGGTCTGGGCACGTGGTTAGGCTCTCTTAAAACCATCCAATCCTGGTCCTGCCCAGGGCTCTGGGGACGGAGCTGCTGTGGTGGCACGCACCCCGCCACCCTTCTGGCAGGGATCACCCTTAACTGGGAGAAGGGATTCTCAATGACCTTACTGTTAGGAGACTTAAAACAACAATTACCTGACTACAGACGTTTCCACCCTGAAAAACCCAGAGGAAATCACCAGTGTTGGGACATCACCTACAGAGCTTTCCTGAGAGTTAGGAAGCTGGAGGAGGAAGCCCTGAGCGTAGAGACAGGGTGAGGGGGGAGTTCCAGCCACTTTCCAGGTGGGGGGGAGATTTCTCACCATGGACCACCTCCAAGGCCCGTCCCAGCAGCCTGGCAGGACACCCTGGCCCTCTGCTGTGCCTCTGTGTGCCCAGACACCCTGTGTGCCGTCTGCTGTGCAGTGGCTGGGTGGGCATGTGGCTGGGGCACTGGGGCTCCCATGCTCCCCTGGGGTGAGGCCTTGCTGTTCTGCATCTCGGTGGCCCAGGCTTAGCACATCCTCAGCAGGAGGAGTGCTGGTTTTATTAAATATCTGTGGAGGTGATGGATCGTTGCTTCTCAGAACCTTGGCACGTCCCACATGGGCCTTGGGCTATGTCTTTGTGTGAGTGTCTTGGGTTTCTGTTTCCAGGCACCTGGGTCACAGGCCCCAGTTCCATCCGCTGAAGCACGGCTTTGATGAGTGGTTTGGATCCCCCAACTGTCATTTTGGACCTTATGACGGCAGAGCCCGGCCCAACATCCCAGTGTACAGGGACTGGGAGATGGTCGGCAGGTAATGGAGCCTATTCCTTCCCTCCCGTCCCCTGAATGTCTGCTGCCCCCATCCCTGCTGATGGCAGTGCCTGGCACTCCTGCCCTTTGCCTCTGATGTGCCCCAGGAGCAAGACGGGGTCCTTGTCCCACCTGCTGTGGCTGCTGGCCCATCCCAGCATGAGGGTTTTGGTCTGACAGCTTGAGCGCTCAGGAAGTTTTGCCCTGGAGCCTTATGAGACTCATGCCTAAGGCCTTTCCTAAGCTTCTTAGGGTCACAGATCCCTTTGAAATATCACAAGTGCCCAAAATCCTCCCCTGCGTGGTGTGCTCACATCGCTGTGACTGGGTTTCTGGGGTTTGTGGCCCTGTGCAGCCCTTTGGTGGGTGCCGGCTGTGCTCTGGACGTCCAGGGAAACAGGAGCATCACAGAGGACATGACGGGGTTGGAACCCTTTCTCCTGGACCGAGAGGCACTGGCCTGGCGCTCAGCTGGGTGTGGGGCCTCCCTCATGGCAGCGCCTGAGTCAAATGGGCTTTATTTCTCGAATTTTGTTTGGCTTAATTTTTTTTTTTCTCTTTTTTTGGTGGACACTCTGATTACATATCAGTGGACCAAAACCTGAGCCAGCTTGGTGCCTTTTTTTAAATGGCAGCTTTATTGAGATATAATTCATTACCATACACTTCACCCACTTAAAGTGTTCAGTTCAGTGGTTTTGATGTAGTCACAGAGTTGTACAGCCATCACCACAATCAATTTTAGAACGTATTCCCCACCTCAAAAAGAAACCCAACTCTTAGCTCCCTGCCCCAAGTAACTACACCTCGACCTCCCACCTTGTTATCTGTCCTGCCCCCAACCTTCCAAATGGGGAGGGGTCACGGTGGGAACCCAGTCTCAGCCCCCATGTCATCCTAGACAAGATCATACCACCGAGGAGAGTTCAAGCTTCCAGGGTGATTATTCCATAATTGAGACATCTCCATCCTTCTTTTAAATGAGGCCGTGACTCTGCCGGGGAATTCAGGGAGAAGGGGGCTTTATTGGCCTAAATTCTGATTTCTGTCTGAATCTGTATTATTTTCAGATTTTATGAAGAATTTCCAATTAATCTGAAGACTGGAGAAGCCAACCTCACCCAGATCTACTTACAGGTGGTGGGAAGCTGCGTTGGGCTGGGTGCTCTCTGGGGTGGGGGCAGAGGAGGACGGCGTGGCCTTCTCTACAGGAGGCGCTGGACTTTATCAAGACTCAGCAGGCACAGCAACACCCCTTCTTCCTCTACTGGGCCGTTGACGCCACGCACGCACCTGTTTATGCTTCTAAGCCTTTCTTGGGCACCAGTCAGCGAGGGCGGTGAGTTCCTGGTCAGAGAAACACAGACCACCCCTGGGGGCTTCGCTGTGCTTGGTACCCACAGGGACTGGCCCTGGGCACCGTTATGTTTAATCACCAGTCATGGAAAAGACCAAAGCGCCCAGCCCCTCTGAAGCTCTCCACCAGCCCAGGATTAGTGGAAGGGGGCGCAGTGGGGTGTTGGTTCCATCCTGGGTAAAGCACGTGGACTTGAGATTCTTTTCTGTGACCAGGCTGGCTGGCCCCTTCCATGGGTCATCTCTGAAACTGTGACTTCATGTGCTCCCTGAATCACACTAATGCCATGGCCCACCTGATAAACGTCACCTCTCCCCGCAGGTACGGAGATGCCGTTCGGGAGATTGACGACAGCATTGGGAAGATACTCAAACTCCTGCAGGGCCTGGGGATCGCGGAGAGCACGTTTGTCTTCTTCACATCTGATAATGGTGCTGCCCTCATCTCTGCTCCCAGTCAAGGCAGGTGTTCATGGTCATCCCCACAGTCGCCATGTCCACAGGGAGGGCTTTGTTCTAGGTGCCAGGATGGGCCATGACTCAGTCAGAGTCCATCAGCCAGCCCTGTGGGCAAAGCATGAAGGGCCCCAGGTGGGTTGAGGAGGGCCAGATCCCAGAGAGCCTCAGAGCCAGGCCCACAGCCCTTTCCCCTCCCCCCCAGGACTTGGGAGGAAGAGGGGAGCCGCAGTGGGGAGGTGACAGGGCTTGTCTTGGGAGGAGGTTGCACGCCTCCCCAAAGTGACCCTGGGTGACAGGAGGCTTTGGAGGCCGCATGCTGGAGGCTGATGGTGACAGGCACAGATGAGGAGGAGAGCCAAGTGGGGAGGGGCACGGTGCTGCAGAGGTGGGCTAGGAGCAGACACCATCAGACCCAGGAGCCCCCACCCTCTCCCCTCGAGCGAGCAGCTCTGCACCCAAGATGGGGCATCTCTTCCCAGGCTCATGTTGGGGGCCCTTGCAGCCTGGCGTCCTTGGGAGGAGAGGCGACTTTGGGATTTCAAGTGATAGGAACCCAGCACAGCTACATAAGCTGAAAAATAAGCGTGTTGGCAATAGGACAGCACCTCAAGGCTGGGCCAGGGCCTCCGTCAGTGCCTGTGGGGGGCCCACACCTGCGCCAGGGGAGCTTGGTTCTTACACAGGGCCTCCCCACACAGCTGATGACCCAGAGGAAGGAGTGGGACTGTCCCTCTCCCAGCAAGGGCCCAGGGCCCAGTGGGAATCATAGACCCCTGATGCATGTGGAGAGGGCCAAGGGACAGCTCCCAGGGAAGAGAGGGTCTGGCCAGAGGGAAGTGGGCAATGTCGGCCACCGTCCCCCCAGAGGGAAGTCCTAGGGGCGCCCACCTCTGACAGCTGTCACCTGTAACCACCAGCCAGGTTCAGTGAGGCCTCTGAGGATGTGGGCTTTAGGCCTCAGCAGTCTTGAGTCTCCACTTCTAAATTATAGACTCGTTCACACAAACGGAAAGGTCCGCGTGTGTCCGTGAGGTGTGAGTACCACACAGTGAGAGCCTGCACGTCCACCACCCTGCTCAAGAAGGAGAGATGGAATGTCAACACCTCTGAGCCCCGGGCGTCCTTCCCCAGAGGTGGCCATTGCTCCAAACACTTAAGAAATACTGACTGAAAGAGTCACAGTTACCTGTGATGGGAGTGTGTTTTGTGGTCTGCTTAGAGAATTTCTGAGTCCTGCTCACAAGGATAGCCACGTTTCCACTTCTGAGCAGTAACTCCTCTTTAGGGCACAATATTCCTGTTTTCTCTGGGGAACCCTACAACCAATGCATCTCAGACAAGGGCCTGGGTCAGAGCTACTGAGGTTTCCTGACCTTGTGCTTGAAGCCTGAACTCCTTGGCCAGGTCCTTTGTCTCTATGACAGGTCTCAGTGACTCTGCAGCATCACCTCGGAAGGGAGGTGGTGGGGTGAGCCCATGCTTTCTGCAGGCGAGCATGCCTGCCAAGGACCCTGAGCAGCTCTGATTCACTGCTGGGCCTAGGACTTCAAGTCCAGGTGGTCTGATGGGTGGTGACTATCCTCCTCCAGGTGGCAGTAACGGTCCCTTTCTGTGTGGGAAGCAGACCACATTTGAAGGTGGGATGAGAGAGCCTGCGATTGCATGGTGGCCGGGACACATCCCTGCAGGCCAGGTGAGTCAGGGCGGCTCCATCTGCAAGGCAGAGAGTCCCGGCCTATGCTCGTCCTCCCCATTGTCCTCGAAGTCCAGTTCCTCCCAGGGTGTGTGGAGCTGGCTGTGCACAGTGAGGGGGCAGGGAGGCCCGTGGGGGGTGCTGGAACAGCATCACACAGGTGCTGGTAGCTACTGTGGAGGAGGAGGCTTCTGTGGCCCCATCCACGTGGCAGTCCTGAGTGAAGTGGGCAGAGCAGGCTCCCCCTGCAGGACCGCCAGAGCCCTCAGTGTGCTGATGGGTCCCATGAACTTCCGGAAGGGCACAGAGCAGGCTGAGATTTTTAAAACTTATCTGGCCACAGAATCTTTTTTCTTTTTCCATGTACATCTTGGGCCAGTGTTCCATGGACCCACTCTCAGAGAACAGAAGCAGCCCAATGTGGTTTCATTGATGTCTGTCTGCAGTGTAGGGCACAGACCTCATCAGGTGGGGGGCCTGGCCCTCTGGCTGGGGGAGGGGTGTGTCCTGCTGCTGTCTCCTGCTTTCGTGCCTTACAGCACATTTGCCCCTGGCCACCAGCCCTCTGGCCCCAGGCAAGCTACCCCTCAGCTGAGCACCCACACTGTGGGGTCTTCCTCAACCGGGACCCTCGATTCACCCCATGAGACTGGTGTTTGTAAACATGCACATTTCTCAATTTCTTATTGGTCTTTTCCCTTCTAATTATCTACTTTGGAGGCCGCTGTTCTCTGCACTTGTGTCAAGTCATTTAACCCTTACAGCACCATGAACAGCCATATAGGTTTCCTGTGGCTGCTGAAACATGTCCCCACACACTTGATGGCCTAAAACAGCATACATCGATTCTCCTACAGTTCAGGAGTCAGCAGTTGACATGGGCCTCACTGCACTAGAGTCAGGGTGTGGGCAGGGCTGGCTTCCTCTGGAGGCTCCAGGGGAGAACCTGTTTCTTTGACTTTTCCAGCTTCTAGAGGCTTCTCTGTCCCTGGGCTCGTGACCCCTCCTCCACCTTCAAGCCCAGCAGCGCAGCTTCTCTCTGACTCTGTCTGCTACCTCCCTCTTCCATATTTAAGCACCCTGTGATCACATGCACCCACCTGAACAATCCAGGCCAATCTTGCTATTTTTAGGTCAGCTGATTGACAACCTCAGTCCCATCAGCTTTCTTAACTCTCCTTTGCCATGTAAGGTCCAGGGATTGGGATATGGACATCCCTGGGGAGCTATCACTCTGCTGACCACAGGCAGTCCCTCTCCTTCCCCCGCCCTCATTCCACACATTAGGAAACTGAGGCCCAAGGAGAGGAAGTCACTGTCAGGGCCCCCCAGCTGGTGGGCAGGGCGGGAGCAGACCCCAGGCATCTGGCTGTGGAGTCCAGTCTTCTGCCTACCATGCCTGGGATGGCCATGTGTGTCCCCAGCAGCAAGTGGGGCCTGGGCCTTCTGTGACACAGGACTGCAGGCAGAAGGACCACGTGGCCCACTGAACACGCAGCTGCAGGCCTGCCCGTCAGCTCATCAGCTCCCTCTGAAAGGGAGAAGTGGCCGTGGCAGTGACCACATCATGTGCGGGAGCAGCAGGGCACAGGCTGGGTGCCCAGGCTGGTCACATCCACCAGCTCCTGTGTGAGATGGACCTGGGATCATAGGCACACCCCAGACTCAGCACTCTCGGAGGCAGGGGGGCTGTGTGGCCTCACATCGGGCACTTGCAGGGAGAGCTGGGCCAATAGTCTGTTAGCGGACACTGTGACAATGATGTGAGAATGAGGACATTCTGTAGGTCTTGAGAGACACGAGGTTTCCAAGAGCATGGATACCCAGCAGGGGCCGGACCGGCCGCAGCAGCTCTGCTCCCTGGCTGAGGAGCCCACCCGGGAAAGGGGAGGTAGAGTGCCCCCACGTGCCCAGAGCCCCCAGCCCGCCCAGCTCCATGTCCAGCAGATTCAGGAGCAGGCTTGGGGACAGCTCCCGCAGAGGAGGATTCCTTGTCCGCCTCGCTCCCTGAAGGAGGAAGGGACATATCTCACCAAAGCACACGGCCGCTTCCCTCCGTGTCCCACTGGGCACAAGCCTAAACTGAATTAGACGGGTGTCAGGCCTGCACGCTGTGACAAGGCAAGAGCACTTCACCTAAAGCGCTCTGGCATTTGTCCTCCTGGTGTCAGATGTTTAGCTTTCGCTGCCTCTGCTCCTGGCGGGGGTGACTTTGTAGCCTTTGATTCAGAGCTAAGTCTTGAAAGTGCTGATAACAGCCTCGGCCACTCCCTGCCGTGGGCCCGCAGCTAAGGGATTGCGTTTTCCTAAAGGAAACCTCAAGAGCTTCTATTTTTCAAAAGGGCTTGCGTGAGCCCCGCAGCTGCCCGCGCTGCTGCAGGACACTCAGACGCCGCGCACATCACCATGGCAGCCTCTCCTCATTTACTTTACCCACACAGTGAGGTGTCTGCGTTCCTTTTTTTTTTTTATTTTCCTGTCCTTAAAAAAAAGATGCTGGCAGGGAGGGACATGCCTCCACGGCCCCCACGGCCTGACCTGTGGTCATCTCCCTGGCGAGGCTCCTAAGAATTTTTTGAACCAAACGCTGACCTCTGTTCCTCCCTCCCCACGCTGGGTGCTGCAGACCCCAGGACACAGGAGCCACCAAGAGGTGTGTGTTCACCCTCCTGAGAAGCTTCTCCTCGTGTACAGGAATGTCCGAGTGAGACCAGGGACCTGATTGGGTGACTAAGCCGCGATCTCTCTCTGGCTCAGCTGAACAAGGCTGGGCCAGGGTCCTCCAGGACTGCAGGAAGCACCGTCTGCCCTGGACAGTGGCTCGCGCTCCTGGCCAACACAGGAGGAGGCTGTGTGGCTGAACCACCACGTGCTGCCCCAACGGCTCAGCAGGGCTCCGTCTCCTGTTCCCCCACTGACCACACCCCCCAGCCCCAGAGTTAAGGAGCAAAGACAGCTTGCTGCCAGTCCCCAGCGCGGCCACCACGTGGTGGGGTCCCTGAGGACCACTGGAGGAGCCCAGGTGGACCCCTGAGGAGGCAGAGCCATGAGGGGCTCACTGCTGATCACCACTGGTCACCGCTGGTCGTCAGTGACCGTGCACTCTGGTGTGTCGGGGCGTGAGCAGGGAACAGTTGCTCACCACCAACAGGGCTGCACCCGTGCACAGCAGAGTCCAGCTCACAACCCTGACTTTCCAGAACTGTTGCTCGCAGGACATGTCCAGAGGGCCGTCCTGCTACTCTTGAGGGTTTCACCACCCAGCGTGGTCCCGTCCAGCCTGCACAGTGCTCTGCACTGCTTCTGGGTCTGGGGGCCTTTTCCCACCTGCCCCCGCACATGATCGCACAGCAGCTCTGGGGCACTGAGTGTTAGAGTGACACTGGCCGTCTGCCTCGGGCAGGTGGGTGCCGAGAGGGTCCTCCTGGCATCTCTGAGGGAAGGGCTGTGGTGGCTCTCCTGTCTGTCTATGACCCAGCCCCAGCACAGGATACAGGTGCAGGAGGCACGGCCTGACCCTGGGGTCAGAGGGGCCGGTTTGAGTACCCTCTGCCACTCACAGGCTCTGTGACCCCACTCGACCCCTGACCCCTGTGGGCATGGGGTGTGCACATGTGTGTGTGGGGTGTGGGTGTATAAATGTGTCTGTGGACCCTGCTGGGCAGCAGGGCCGACACCCCAGGGACCAGCCCCCAGCCACTGTCTAGTCAGGGCAGAGCGTCGAGCGCATCACTGCCATGTCCATTTCAGGTGAGCCACCAGCTGGGCAGCGTCATGGATCTCTTCACCACCAGCCTGGCCCTCGCGGGCCTGCAGCTGCCCAGTGACCGGGTGATTGATGGCCTTGACCTCCTCCCCGCCATCCTGCAGGGCCAGCTGATCGACAGGTGGGTGCTGGATGGACACAGCCTCCTGCCCCAGCTCCAGGAGCTGGAGTGGAGCTACCAGCGAGGCCAAGGCCTCCTCACCCAGCTGGTTCTGGTGGTCTGGAAGCAGGAGCATGCGTGATCGGATCAGGGAGACGAGAGGGAGGTAGGGGAGCTTGTGGCAGGCGGCCTCTGGGACCAGCACGTGGGGAGAGGATGGCCAGGCACAGCAAGGCCTTGACTCTCAGGAAAGCATCCTGAAGTCCAGGTGGACGGGCCTCGTCCCTGCTTGTAGGCCAGGCACGTCACCGTCACTGTCACCACCCCTGCATCTCACCCACCTACAGTCCTGGTTTCTGTCTTGTCTGCTTCGGGCCATGGCTAGGAGGAGAAAATGTCCCTCTACCCGGGTCACCAGCCCCTAAGACTCTTAAGCCTGGCTCATTCTGCATTCACCCTTGTGCCCGAATTCTTCAGGTCCAAAATCCATTTCTTTCCACCTGAGACCAGCTACCATTTTGCTCAAAGTGAGTTTCCTGGGTAGCTCTGAAGGGGCTTGAATTTTAAAGAGTTAAATAGCATAGAAAGTAGCAGCAGCCACAGAGAGCCAGCGGCATGTGGCCTCTGCTTTTAGGGGAGGGATTAGAGGGGTTTTGCTTTTTTTTTACCCCCAGAATTGATTATTTTTTCTTCCTTGAAATCTGGCCCAGGAGCTTGTTGACTGCCAGGGAAAGAAGGTTCTGGATGCCGTCCAGCCCCTCACCCTGTACTCCAGCCTTTCTATAGGACCACCTGATCCCTGAGACGGGCACCCCATCTGCCTCCCCACCTGCTGGCCCCCAAGGCCTGGCTTTGCCTCTCCAAGGGCTGAGGAGGGGGACAGTTGTGGGGGCCCAATCCCGGCAGCCTCATGGGCCTTTTCACTTTTTTGTATAATCTGATCTCAGTGTGAACATTGTAAAATTTCAACTGAAAGCTGTTGGCATGCCCGGCCAGGAACACCATGGCGGCCTTGCTGTTTCCTGTGTCATTACATGACCCCATCCCCCACAGGCCGATATTCTATTACCGTGGCAACACACTGATGGCGGTCACTCTTGGCCAATACAAGTCTCACTTCTGGACGTGGACCAACTCCTGGGAGGAGTTCAGCCAGGTACAGGGCCGGGGAGCGGGGTCTGCTGAGGATGTGGGCACAGCCCTCCCTGCAGCCTCTTCACCTGTCCCTCCTGCATCTTGTCCCAGCATCACTGCCTCCCAGGGCTGTCCTGAGCACGCACGGTCCTCCCCAGGCCCTGTCAGCAGCAGCAGGTCATGCCTGGCCTGCTCTCTGTTAGGTGCTTGGGGGCTGCTTGTGGCTGGAGGTGTAGGACCCTTGGGGTGAGGACAGTCCCCCCATCTCTCACGCACGACCCCTCTTCAGGGCCCCACTGTTGGCTGCTTGAGGGTCGGGTAGTTCAGAAACTGGAGAATGGAAGCCCCTTCCAGGCCTGGAGGGGGACCCAGCCAGCTCTGCCCAGGCTGGTGTCCAGAGAGGACAGGGGCTCCATCTGGGAAGGCACAGAGCAGCTCCTGGGCCGAGTCCCCCAGGCTCCTGTCAGCTCCTGTAAAGTCCAGAAGGTTCTGCCAGCAGAGCCGCTATCTACACAGCCTGGCAGGTGTCCACTAGCCGGTCCTGACTGACATGTTGCAGGTGGGGTCAGAGGGTATCGGGAGAAGCCCACCCCAGTGCCAGTGGGTAGGGCTCGCCCTACGGCTGGCAGGTCGGGAGGGGCCTCACCCTTGTCCGCTGGGCTGCCTGGGGGACGCAGCTTCTCCCGTTTTCTGTGAGAGCCTGTGGTTTCCACAGCTTTGGCTTCCATCTTCTTGGGGTATGAAGCACATAAACGTACTCTCGACTGCATGTGGCTCTTAGCAGAGCCGCTCCCCAGCGAGGGGCTGCCCCTGACGCCAGAATCCACTGTCCCGAGGGGCCTGGGCTCTCTGCCATGTGGCAGTGGGCAGAGTGGGGCCTTTGGTGGTGGACTTACTCATTGTGGTGCAGATACAGGTTGTTTCTAAAAATAAATGCCTGGAGCCTCAAGGGCCAGTGGGGTCAGAGGGGGCGGGGCTGGCAGGAGGCCGGGGGGGCCCCCTGTGCTCAGGGGCAGTGAGGAGGGACAAGGGCGACGCAACCAGGGAGTGTTCCAAGAGGGCAACGTGGCCTTTCTTTCTTTGGATTTTTTATGGGTTTGGTTTTTCTAGTGTTATCAATTAGATACTTCATTTGAGCCTAACAAGAACAAATGGAGTTTGTGTTTTCCAGCCTAACAGCAGATGAGAGTTGGCCCGTGTGACTTTCTTCATATGTCCAGGGCCATGCTAGGAGAAAGCCAGGCTTTTTCATGCAGGATGAGCCTGTCGAAAACATCCTGTCCTGCCCCAGGCCCCACAAGGTGCAGAGCGCCGGCGGCCCGGGCCCTGTACACTCAGCACATCCATTAGAAACACCGATTCCTTCTGGGGCTTTGGCTGCTGTGAGCCACACAAAGACGGTGGAATCTGCTGATTTCATCCCTTTCTGTCGTGTGCAGTTGGTGTGGGTCAGACAGGAGCCCTGGGTGCCCAGGACACCATGGACAGTGAGGAGTCCCTCCAGTTCTTAGAGCCCTTGGAGACATCCCAGCAGGGAAGGGGCTTCACTCTGCTTACCCCCCACCCCCAGTGTGCTGGGCAATGCTGTGGAGGCCCTGCCACCGTCACCAAACTCAGCTCTGACTGCAAGCAGCCACTGGTTGCACAGACCAAATTCATCCCCTCCTGGAGACACAGCACATGACTCAGGCATCCTGGACATTGGTGACAAGCTCTTTGAGTTTGTTCAGTCGGTTCCACTGGCCCCAGGGCGGGCCCTCACCTCAGTGGTTCAGGGACACACAGCTCAGGTTTGGGGACCTGCTGCATCCATCTGGAGAACATCATGCTGGAGCCAGGACCTGGTCACACACAGCCAGGTCAGCGCCAGCCTGGAGGGTGAAGAGCCAGAATCACCCCTGGCTCACCTGAGAGGCTTTAGGGGTTACCTATTGTGGCCCCTACAGCCTCCTCCCTCCCAGGGTTCAGTGAGGCTGAGCAGGAGGAGCCTGCAGATGATAAGGGTGGTGTCCCCTGAGCTGCCCATGGCCATCGCTTGTGCCCGCCCAGGGCTCTGCCCCCCACCCTGTCCAGCTGGAGAACGTGTCGGGGCAGTTCTGTTCAGAGTCCACGTGGCTGCCCCATCCGGGCTACGCTGTTGTTCTGAGCTGGCTCCTGCTCTGAAGGTGAGGTCTGGTGGCATCACAGCTGGGGACATGCGGGTGTGTAGTCCCCAGGTTCGGGGTCACCCGAGTGGACTTTATTAGCATCCATCCCAAGAATCAAGCTGTCCACTCCCTTCCTGTGTGTGAGAACCAGCCAGAACCTGGGGTTTCCTCCATGTGACATCGCCATGGATAGCTGATTCTGAGGGTCCTTTGCCCATGGCACTGGGTAGACCCCGGTGTCCCTCACAGTCCACCCTAATGGGGTCTCAACATTGGTTCCCTTCAGGCCTCTGGTGGGGGTGGGAATGGTGAGGTGCGAGGAGGCGCCACAGCCGTGGATGAGCAGGGGACACTGGGCGGTGCCTGCCTGGTGAGGAGGCAGCCAGGACGGAGGGCAGATGCTGCCCGCTCAGGGTCACTGCCGGATGCTAGGCCCTGTGGGCCCTGCCCACCGTCTTCCTCCTGCCCTGTCTCAGCTCCCTGCAGCACCTGTCCACCTCTGTCCACATCCAGCTGGCCCTGAGCACTCCATGGACTCTGCTCCACCCAGGCCTCTCCTTGCCCTTTCTGTCCTGATATCCACCTGCCCCCACACCCTTGCCTGCTGCCCCCTGCTGTCAGGCTCAGTCGTCTCCACTGTCCATGCTGTGCTCGGCCTCCTCAGCTCTGGGCTTGTCCTAAGCCTAGATGCTACTCGCAGCCTTCTGGCCCCCGAGGGCCTAGGTCGTGTGTGTCTGTGGGCAGTGCTGCCCGCCACACTTGGCACGCACGCGCCACCTGCCCACGTGCCACAGGTGGCTCATCTGCTCTTCCGTTCATTCCATTACTGCTCGATGGCGGGTGGGTGAGTGAGCCCCTGCACGTGCCAGACCCATGGCGGATGCAGCCACAGCCAAGCCCAGCACAGAGGATGTGCCCCACCGTGGTGATGGCATCAAAGGCTAGTGAGGAGCACGAGAGGTCAAATGTGTCTACGTGACCTTCTGTGTTTCTTGACCAAATCCCGCAAGCCTTAGCCTAACTGCATGATCTTCCTCCATCTTTCTCCGTCCACCACATGCATTCGGCTTCTGGGCTGCCACCTGCTCTCCTTCAGGAAAAGGGCCACTCTGCACCAGGCTGGCTCCACCGCAGGTGCCCCAAGCATGAGGTCCCCTCAGACAATGACAGTTGTGAGAGAGAGGTCCTATACCAAGTAGCATGATCTTAATTAAGTTTATGTCTAGGCTTGGGTACTTCTCCATTAGCTGTGTAGCATTTTTATGCTAAATATGGTTGTTTCTCCTGCTGTTCAGTCCACATTTGTTCTCTAGCGGGTTGCTCCCAGGAGTTCAAGGTCACCTGCTGTAACCACTGTGGTATCCATTGTCAGCCCCTTGAGCCACTTGGGATGCAGCCATGGATTCAGGATTCTGCAGCTCAGTGCAGATAAATGGGATTTCATGGGCTTCCAACCTCCCTGCTTTATTGAAAAGCAAATACTAACTGCTCCACTGACCTGTTGTCCGTGGCAGACTCAGGGACGTGTTAGAAAGCAGTCTGCTGTGAGACGGCACTGACGCCCACTGGAAGCCCCATTGCCTGTGCTGCAGAAGTGGTGACTGCTCCCCACAGGCCCTACAAACAGAACCCTGAGTCGGCAGGAATGCCTGCACCACGCTGCTGCAGGGCCCCTGGCATGGTGCCTCAGGCTTCCCCTTTCCGGAATCGGAGTCCAAGGGCAGCCTGAGAGTGCTTTTAGGGCCTCAGGGACGTCCTTGGACTGGGACAGCTCTGACCATACACTGATGTGTGGACCCATCGCAAGTGGGAGTCAGGCTGTCCCTGGGGCCAGGGGCCACCTGGGGAGGGGCTGCACAGGGCTGGCTCTGCTGCTGGCCGAGGTGCGTGGGGCTGCTGGCTCACACCTGAGCCTTAAATGGAGGATTAGCTTGTTGCCGGCTTTCTCTATCTTTTCCTCTGTTCTCTGGAATATATTACTCATAGTTATTTTGAAATCTTTGCCCATTTCTTGAGCATGTAATCGTAGTTATTCTAAGGTCCACGCCTGCTAACTTGAATTCCTTGTCCCTGTGGGGCTGTTTCTGTTGTCTGAGTTTCTTCCTGGCCTTCAGGCGTGCAGTCCTTCCTCCTTGCTGTCTTGTGATTTTTGTAGAAACGCTGAGCATCGTGATTTTTGTTCTCTAACAGAGGGCCCCCTCCCTTCCACTAGGCAGATGGAGTAAGGTGTTAAAGGAGCTTCCTTCTAGGCCGGCCCGTGGCTCACTCGGTAGAGTGCGGTGCTGAAAAAACACCAAGGCCATGGGTTCAGATCCCATATAGGGATGGCCGGTTCGCTCACTGGGTGAGCGTGGTGCTGACAACACCAAGTCAAGGGTTAAGATCCCCTTACCGGTCATCTTTTAAAAAAAAAAAAAAAAAAAAAAGGAGCTTCCTTCTGTGAAATTCGTGGCAGTCAAGAAGATATGAGATTGACTAAGATATTTGAAAGATGCTCATTCACCACCCAAAAAAGGGTGCCAAGAAACTAGGGGAGGGATACAGACATGCTTGCTGAGCGGGTCTGGGGCCCAGGGGTGACAGACCTCACCTTTCCGCAGTACGGCCACACATCCACCCCACCCCGTCCACAACCATCTGCTCACTGAACATTCACTGAGCATCCTGGGATGTGCTAAGTACAGGGGACACCACTAAGGACAGATGCCTTACCTCCCTTGCCTGCCGCTCATTGCAGGGAGTCGATTTCTGCCCTGGGCAGAACGTCTCGGGAGTCACGACTCACACCCAGAAAGAGCACACAAAGCTGCCTCTGATTTTCCACCTGGGACGAGACCCGGGGGAGAGGTTCCCCCTCAGGTGAGTCGGGCACAGGGGCCTTTGAGCTGCTGAGAAAATGCTGACCATACACAACCAGATGCAAGCCCTGAGCCTGGGCCCTCCGTTTTATTTTCAAATAATTATTTTTCTTTCTTTCTTTTTTTTAAAGATGACCGGTAAGGGGATCTTAACCCTTGACTTGGTGTTGTCAGCACCACGCTTCCTGCAGTGAGCCACGGGCTGGCCCTAAAATAATTATTTTTCTAATTGCAGCAGGAGCGTGTGCTTATGATGAAATCTTGGAAGATGAGTAGGCACACGGGAAGTGATGGGGCCCCTGCACCCCACATGCTAGGGCCGGGCTCTCGCCACTTCCTGCGTGTGGTGGCCTGCCCTTCTCTCTGGGGGCGCTCCCCCCTCACCGGTGATCTCCCCACTTCTGCCCCTTCCAGACTCCAGTCCATCTGGCTCCAGTGATGTGTCCCCTACTCTGAGCTACTATCTGGGGTGGCCAAGGGCAGAGGGTGAGGGGTCCAGGCACAGGGTATGTCTAGTGGGCTAACCAGCCCTGGGGCCAGCAGGAGGGAGAGGCTGAGGACCTGGTGGGGAAGTGGGTCCCCCTGAGAACCCAGGTCCTGGGAGCGGAGCGGCTTCAGACCTGAGCACCATAGCGGCCAAGGCTGGGGCTGGGGGCTGCCTGCTGGTCTCTTCTGAGCTGGGGTCCTGGGCTCTGGAGCCTCTGCACCTGTGTTTGACCCATCTCCACCATAAATGTTTGGCCCTGGCAAGTCGGATGGCCACTCAGAGGACCTGCCCCAGGGTGTACACATGAGCACTCCACCATGCCATCAGACCAGCAAACTAAGGGGACAGCAGAGAGCCACCAACCCAGTCCCCACAGTCCAGCTGCCTAGGCTGTACTTGACTCACAGAGGAGACTGGAGCCTGCACTGTCGCTGGTGGCTTTCAGGGACCCCCACCTGAACCTCCACTTACCACACGAGGCTCGAAAGTCACAGCCACCAAGGAACGGGTGATCCTGGGTCTTTCACCAAACCCAGATCCCCACTGGCCATTCCTCAGGAGTAACAGAGAACCCAACAGTCGACTAAAGCTCCCCCCAGGCTCCCTTTTCTTCCTTCCAAAGCTATTCTCTCACCAGGCTCGGGCCACTTGGACACTTCTCCCATTCTCCCCAGTAGGACGAGCAGGTGCCCAATTCCTGCGCATGCCCACAGGGGCATGTTTGGTTGTCCCCAGCATTCCTGCCCCATTGAGTTGGTCCTGCGGAGACTGAGGCCCTCAGGGGAGTGGCCAAGCAGAGATGAATCCAAGCCTGGCCGAGAATAGCACGGGGCCTTCTGCACGGGCTACTATCAGCACCGGGACAGGCTTGATTTGAGTGGGTCTGTGCACAGGACGAGAGGGCACAAAGCCCTGGAAAGGTCCACCCTGCAGCTCCGGCGCCCTTGAGGGGATGACCACCTTTCCCCTGGGCTGTGACGCCAGGCTCTGTGCCCCTGGTGTGGATGAGGCTCCTGGACACAGGGACCACTGAGCACTTCCTGGTCGTAGCTCCTGTTCTGGTTGAGTTCCATCTGGCTCGGAAACCCAGGACAGTGACTGGGGGACGGGATCATAGAGATGGTGTTGAGAATGGAACAGAAGCCCCAGCCATGCCTACCAGGTCTCTCACAACATGGCCTCACTGGAGACAGAGTCTTTGCAGATATAATTAAGGTGAGGTTGGAGGTGATTTTGGTGGGCCCCATATCCAGTGACAGATGCCCTAAACCTGGAACAAAGAGGAGACAGACACACAGGAGAAGTTCACATGAGGACCAGGCAGAGGTTGGAGCTGGAAGAGGCAGGAAGGAGCTGCCCCTAGAGCCTGCTGCTGACACCTTGACCTTAGAGTTCTGCCTCCAGAACTGTGAGAGGATGTGTGTCTGTTGTAAGCCCCCCAGCATGTGGTGATTTATTGCAGCAGCCCAGGACACTCACACAGACAGAAGCGGGAGCTGACAGCCCAGGTGGCATACTCAGTGGTCAGCACAAACCACAGGCAGTCTGGAGCTAAGGGCCACGGTGGAACTGGAGGATTGAATCAGGTCGCTGGGAGGAAGCAAGCTGAGAGCCCCCCAAGGGACATCACCTTGGAGCTACTGAAGACCCAGCAGCTCTGAAGGGGACTACAGGAGCAGATTCCAGGTCTCAATTACACAAAAGGAGCTGCCCAGCCACACCTGTGCCCACAACACCCAGCAGGCTGATTGGCCCTTGGGGACCATGCAAAGATTAAAGTGTCAACTACCACAGGGATGGCCTTGCTGCACCCCCTCGAATTCCAGCATGGTTTGCATACACAGGGATTTCCTCTGGGTGACATGTGAGGGACACACAGTCCTCTCAGCAGCCACAGATCCCCTGCCTTCCAGATGCCTCACGCCTCGTGGCTGGAAAGTGCAGTTATTGAAAGCAAGCCCTGGGGCAGTTGGCACAGCTTCCCTAGAGGTGGCTGTAGGGAGAGAGTGGCCAGCAAGTCACTGGGAACCAGTCCCTGAGGTCAGAGGCTGTGACATGGCCTCATTGACCGTGTGCCACTTCTCAGACATGAATATCTGGGTTGCTTAGTGAAGAGCCTCTCTAGAGGAGGTGAAAGCCACAGGCGCAGTGTGGCCCTCGTGGCCTCCAGCAGCGCTCACCTGGGGAGGCCGCACTTCTGGCTGGGCTGGTCAAGGCAGAGGCTGGACCAGCTGTACTTGGCTATAGAATCCACATGGCTTGTGCATGCAGCCCAAGCTAGGGAAGCCCCAGCGCGGGAGCTGCTTCTGCTTCCCGGTATGGTGGAATCCGGGGCCGAGGAACTGGGCTCCAAGAATCCCAGCTCTCTTCACAGGAGGCTGCTGGGCTTGAACAGGCACTGGCACCATCAGAGAGGGGCTGGCCTCGGCACAGAGTGGGAGCCTGGCCATGGCCCCCTGTAAGGGTCCATCCCCTGGTCTACAGGATGGTTTGGGTGTCCCCAGCAGTGAGGGGCAGATGACATTGTGCAGCACACGCTGATGGGCTTGGGGGCGGTCCTGACCTGGGGGTATACCAGCCCTTGGAAATGGACCCATTGGGCCACTCTGAGACCTGAGGAGGCACCGCAGCACCAAGTTCCTGTGGGCAACATGCGGGCCGGCCCGGGAAGCTCACCCTGGCTGGTGCCTGCAGAAATGCCCTGGGTGTCCACAGCACGCTGCCAAGTGTCATGCCGTGTTGTGGGCTGCAGTTTGTTTCTCCCTGGCCACTGAGGGGCCCCAACCGCACAGACATGCGCTGTGTACATGGACACCCCTCAGCCCTTCTGGCGCCCACCCTTCTGAGCAGCCACCAGCAGCCTGCCCAGGTGCGCCTGTTTTGCATCCTGCCAGCTGCTTCCAGCTGTGCGTTGCCTCGTGGTTTTCATTTGTGTTCTGTGATAAGTGGAGTTGAGCATCTTCATGTGCTCCGTGGTGATTTTAGAAATGACTTTAAAAGGTAGAAAGATTGCGCCATGGCATCACAGCAGCACCACACCACACTGCCACACGGCATCGCCGGGCCAGCCTCAGGGTGCATCTGGCTGTCACAACATCCCTGGGGAAAGCGCGACTGCTCTGTTGAGACTAGAGCTGTGCCAGCGCTGGTTCCTCATTTCCCAGAGTTCGGCAGGGGAGATAGTGCTTTGTAATGAAACAGGTGCGTGTCGTATTTGCAAATGTCTTAAGCGGTCCTTAGGAGTGCTGTGGAGGTCCTCACAGAGAGGCCCCATCCTCCCATCCACGCCTCCAAGGTCCTGGTTACAGGCAGGTCACCCCATGGGGATGGAGCAGGGCACAGCTGTGCCCTCCCTGCCCATGAGTCTGAGGACACAAGAGCGCCTGTGGTGTTAGCTGCCTGACCAAGGGAGGCTGGGGTCGGCAGGGGGAGGCCATGTCCCCACTGACCATGGTCCCCGGCCTGTGAGACTCCAGCAGCCACCATGACCAGCCCAGAGCCTCAGCCTTTCCAGGCCTCTCCCCCCACTACCCCCACCGCCCATGCCTCTCCCCCTCCACATCTTAGAGTGTCCATGGGCCCTGAGAGCCAGTCAGCCCCAGACCCCACAGTAATCTGGTGCCTTCTCATCTCTAGCTTCACCAGCGCTGAGTACCAAGATGCCCTTCGCAGGGTCACCCCGGTCATCCAGCAGCACCAAGAGACCTTGGTCCCTGGACAGCCCCAGCTCAACGTGTGCAACCGGGCAGTCATGGTGAGTGAGTGCCCACGCCAGGCCCCAGAGAGCCTCGGCTAGCACAGGAGGGCCCTGTTTCCAATGTGCTGTGGGTGTTCTTGTCCTGGAGTGTCACCCACATCCCCCACATGAAGCCATTTAGCGGCGCAGTGTGTTCTGGAGCCGAGTGCACGGGCCCCACCAAAGCTGCTCCTTCCTACAGATGCCCAGAAGGGCAAGGATGGGCCCCTCAGCCCCCTGCACGTACAGGAGGATCCAGAACCCCCCAAAGACCAGAGGACACTGACCCAGGGCAGTGCCAGGGAAGTGGGACGGGCCCTGGCTGCATGGGCCTCCTGCCATTGAGTGCTGCAGGCGTCTCTGCCCCTTGCAGCTCCTGGCCCAGCATCCACTGAGGTGCAGAACAGGGGGCTCGAGAGGCACCAGGCACCCCCGGCCCACAACTCCCATGGGGTCACTTTTCTTTCCCGACATGGGGGCCCCACCAGGACCCCTGCACCCCAGGCTCTGCAGGCGCCAGGGCAGGGAAGACTGGGCCAGAACATGTCATTCTCTGTGAGCCGCAGCCCACGCGCCTGCCTGGAGTGGCTCCCCTGTGCTTTTCTCAGGCCAGGCCAGCCCAGGGCTCACAAGCCTCCTTGGGGACATCCACATCAGGATCTGACACTGCTCACAGTGGCCCTGAGAGCAGCTGCAACCCAACAAGACAATGCTGTGTTCACGCTCAGTAGAAAACAACCCCGTCTCACCAGTACCAGAGGAAACACAGCAAGGAGGCGCCTCAGAAGCAAAACTGAGGTCAACGTTTAAGCCAAGAAGGATTCCGTGTCCTCCTCCTCCAGCCATAGCCATAGCAGTCAGGGCCACACAAGTGGGGCGTGGGTGACCAGCCGTCCTGGGCACAAGGCCTGGCCCAGGGGCACCCCCTCTCAGCACAGCACCGTGGGTCCCAGCAGGGACAGGCCTTGACCCCGTGGGGGACCTGCAGCTGCCAGCTTCTTCAGTTGCGATGTGCTTGTGTGGCCCACACTGTGCCCGAGAGATGACAGTGCCTCTCTGGCACCCCAGAGCCAGCAGAATGCAGCAGGCAGAGCCTCGGCCATGTCCCAGCCCCCTGCACCTCTGCCTACCCCCTGCCGCACGTGCCAGCACGCGCTTCCCACAGCCCATAGACCTGTCCCGCCAGAGATCCCAGGGCTGCTCCAGGAAAGGCACTGCGGGGCAGTTAAGATGTTGTCACACCGAGCTCTTCTGCATGTGAGAGAAGAGACCTGGCTTAGGGTCCACTTCCAGGGTCAGACCAAATTGCAGCTGTGGGAGCCTGCTTTGTGCCCTGCTGCGAGGAGCTGGCTTTGAGGGCCCGCAGCTTCCTTGAAAGCCAAGAACATGGAGCTCGGCCAGGTGGACTTGTGCCTGGGAGGGAAGTCACAGTGCAGGGCACACACTGAGGTGCGGTGGGAAAACATCGGTGGGATCTCAGGGGCATGTTCCAAGCAGTGAAGGATCAGAGGGGACAGCCGCTCTGCCTGCTGTCCCTGCAGCTGGTGCCTTGAGTTTCACCACAGGAAGACATTCGAGGCCTGCCCTCAGAGGCACGCTGGGTAGCTGAGGTTCCAGCCTCCAGGCTCAGGGCGGTAGAGCAGGAGGGTCCTTGTCTCAGGACCACGAGGCCTCTTAGGCAGAAGGGCACAGGCCTGTTCCTCTGGCCAGTGCTGGGAGGGAGGCGGGCAGCACATGGCCAGGGCATTGCCACCGCCATCTCCTGGGCACCAGGGATCTGCCACAGCCACTGGCCTGTGCTTCTCCCCCTGCCCCCTCCTCCAGTCCCCCGCGCTCAGCTCTGCTCCCCGAATCTCCAGGCCAGCCCAAGGTGAGGGCTCAGTGATGTCATCTCTGGGCCCTGTGACACCTGGGCAGCCCGTAAGAAACACAGACCCACCACCCCGATCCCCAAGTGCTGACTCCCAGGCCAGGCCCAGAACCTGCAGCCCGTACGAGCCCAGTGGCTCCTCTGCTGTCCTTCAGAGGCTGGGAACAGTGTCCTCATGCAAACCCAACGCACACACCAGCAGCCAGCGCCCACATGACGGGAGGCAGGGACACTAACACTGGTGCCCCCATGCCTTCCAGGGCAGGAGAGTGTCCTTAGCACTCTGCTTCATCAATCCCCAGACTCTAAAGTCCGTGCAGGGGAAGTTGGGTGGGGACACGGCAAGGCCATGCCACACTTCCTTTTAGCCAAGAGACTCCTGTTAAGGGCAGGAGTCTCCCTTTCTGTTGCCAGGAAAAATATGCTCACACAGCAAGTCCGTGCTCTGAAGTCCACACCTGCACAAGCAATCCACGCTGCACTAAAGCGAGCAGCTGCTTTAGAGAACAGCTCCCCCTGGAGAAAGGTGTCCTGAAGAACCCTCTTGGTTGGCCCTTCTGGGAGGACTGCTTTGCTTTTCTAAGGTGGCAGGGTCTGTGGAGACCCTTGGCCAGCTTCCCCCACTTGGAAACATTGCCAGGGCGAGAGGGCAGTTATCAGATGTACCCCTGCCCCGTGGCCACCACACCATCCCAACCCCAGTCCCCAGCCACTCCCCTCACTTCACAGCTGAGAGGCCAGTGGGGAAGTCCTGTCTCCTCCATCCTGAGGCGTTTACCTGGACCAAGGTGGTGGCGGAGGTGGTTTCCACACTGCAGCCAGTTGGGTTGGAGGTGGGAAGTCACAGGTCTGGGCAGGGGCAAGCGTCTAGAAACTGCACTGCTGTGGAGGACGGAAGTGCCTGGAATAATCGCACATTTTTTCCCTGAATTCTCAATTTCCAGAACTGGGCACCCCCGGGCTGCGAAAAGTTAGGGAAGTGTCTGAAACCCCCCGAGTCTATCCCTGAGAAGTGCTCCTGGCCCCACTAGCACCTGCTTGGACCCAGGCCAGGCCTGGAATCTCCAATTGGCCCTGCAAGTGCCTGAGGGTAGGACATTCTGGCCTCAGAGCTCCTGTGTTGGAAGAGTCCCAACTGCCTTCTGCCGTGCAGACAGTGCCAGCAGCCAGCAGCAGAACCTGCAAGGCCACACCTGCCCAAGACCTGACCTTGGAGTCCACTCCCCAGTCCTCCTCGCCTGCTGCCCTAGGTCCACGGCCCACAGGTCCCAGGACGCCCTGCCTGTCTTGCCTCCCCAGCCGGCTGTGAAGGTGCAGGTGCTGTAGCTCCGACCACCTCCTGCTGGCCTTGTCCAGGGCCCAGTGCTCCATCCTGGGCCATTCCCAGGTCTACTTCAGCCCCAGTGCCGTGCACAGGGGCTCCCCTGTCCCCTCACCCAACACCACCCTTCCCATGCCTTCCTGGCTCCCTGGGGCACCCCTGCTCTTTCTGCATCACCCCACTGCAGGGCTGTGAATGGGGAGGGGATGGAGCAGGGGAGAGGCAGGAGGCCACCCTGACTGGATCCAGCACCCACATGTGCTCTCTGTGCAGGGGGCATGACTAATGTCAGCATCCTCGGTTTCCCACCTTCCTTAGGATCTAGAGCCCAGGCCCTGGCTTTTCAGGCCTCTGACCCTGGCACACTGTGAGGCCGTGTCTGTGCCGCACCTGCCTCCTGTCCTGTCTCCCCCCTCCCTCCCGCATCACCCACTGGCCAAACATGAGGCTGAGCCCCATAGCCTCACCCTGGAAGTCAGAGGAGCCCCAGCAACATCCCCCCCCCCCCCCCCAGGGGGCGCATCTGTGCAGTGATTGTCAAGCCAAAGCAGAATTATTGTAAAAGCAGGGAAATCATGAAGAAAAGAGTCTTGGAATAAAAGAACCTGAAGCATTTAGCTTTATTGTCTTGTTTTTTGTCCACAGGTAAGGGGATCTTAACCCTTGACTTGGTGTTGTCAGCACCATGCTCACCCAGTGAGCTAACCGGCCATCCCTATGTAGGGATCTGAACCCGTGGCCTTGGTGTTATCAGCACCACACTCTCCCAAGTGAGCCATGGCCCGCCCTTGTCTTGGTTTTTTGAGGACGAGATTGTGTTTGGGGGAAGTTGGGCCTCAGGCGCCGGCCTTGGGTATCTATCCTCTCTGCTGGGGCCTAGAGATCCAGCTCCTCCCCACCCCCGCTAGCGGGACTGGGGGGCCAAACCACCTCGACAGGCAGACCGAGGGCCTGCGCGCTTACAGGTGGGCTTCCCGGCCTGGCCAAGCATTACAGCCCGAGGCTTCCTCCCACCGCAGGGCCCTGCACCTCAGGCTGGTGCGCTGCACCCTGCTCGGAACCCCCTTCCTCGGCTCGCTCCAGGACGGCGGGGGCCGCGCTCGCGTGGT